GGGGGGGGGGGGGCACAGGCACTCACCAGGTCACTCACGAGTGGGATGGGCTTCCTTTTGCGGATGTCAGGCATGCTGTCGATGATGATGAGACCACCCCCTGGGCTGCAAGACACCACATAAGGACGTCAAGGGCCCAGGGAAGTCCCCCTTCCTCCAACAGACATCGCCTGAGGCTGGGGTGGGACATGTGATTTCCCAAGGTATTAAGAATTTAATTGTGTCCGCCTCCCAAAGGTACATTCAAATTCTCAACCCCAGGACTTCAAAATGTGACCTATTTGGAAATAGGGTTATTGCAGAGGTAATTAGTTAAGATGAGGCCATACTAGAGTAGAGTGGGCCCCAATCCAACATGACTGGTGTTTTTATAAGAGAAACACACAAGCAGAAGACAGTGGTGTGGCAATGGAGGCAGATTGGAGTAACACATTTACAAACCAAGGAATACTAAGGGTTGCCGACAACTACCAGAAGCTAGAAAGGCAAGGAAGAAATTCTCCCCTACAGGTGTCAAGGGAGCGTGGCCCTGCCCACACCTTGATTTTGGACTTCTTGCCTCCAGAACTGTGAGAGAATCAATTTCTGTTGTTTTAAGCCCCCCGTTTGTCACAGCAGCCCCAGGAAATGAAGACACTGGGCCTCAGCTTCCTCGTCTGGGAGGGGGGAAGATGATGCGGGTGCCCATGTTTAATGAAAATTTGAATTAAGGCAAACCTAAATAATATATAAAGATACCAATGAAATCTTTCTTTATGCTCAAAATTGGAAATATATATGCGTGTTTATTGAAAATCTGTCCTGGAAGGGATGATTTCAACTCCCGTGGGAATGAGGAAACTGGAAATTGTGTTCTTTCTCTTGGCGGTTTTGCCGTAGCTGGAAGATTGAATGAGCACCGTGGCAGACGCCATAGTGGCCTGTTGAATTCTCTTTACTGAGATGTGTACTCATCCCTGAGAAGGTTCAGCTGTGTCTCCTCTCCAGAAGGTTCTCACTGGCCAATGACTGGCCAATGTGAGAGATGTCTGGCAGCCAATGACTCTTGGACAAGCTCTGGGATGCAATTCATGCTCGAGCACCCCCTGCAGAATCAGGTGGAGGCCTGGCGACTCCTGAACCACATCTCGGTTCAAGCTGCTTCCCAGGCCGGATCCTGCCTGCCACACCGGTGTCTCCAGAGAGAGCTTCGTCTATCAGTCACACACACAGGAACCCCCACCTCAGTCCCTGCTTCCGGGGCACCCCTGCTCATCTGGGAATCACAGCTCCTGTCTCTGTTTGCAAAGGAGGTCACTCTCCTGCTGCTATTTTAAAACTTAGGTGTAATTTAAAAATATCTTTTGCATCCTCTAACCTCACCATCCAAAGGCTGAAAAAAACACCCCTGAAAATCAGTAACTTAAGAAGTTAGATGTGACAAAGTGCTCCATTTAAGACCAAATGGCTATTGTTAATGAAACTGCCAGCAGCTGAAGCAATAATCTGGGATTTAAAAGCAGAATCAAAGCAAAAAAATCACTCCACGGTTACAGATGGGCACTGTGGGAAAATGGGTTTCTCCCTTATCTCACATAGGGGGAAGCACTTTTGCATTATGTGAGTGGCTTGGGCAAGGCAAGGCATGTACCTCTCTGGACTCAGTTTCCCCATCTGTAAAACAGAGTAGTGGCCCCTACTATGGGTTTGTTGGAAGGGTTCAACATGTTACTATCTTTGGCTCCTGAGTGCCTTATGATAGTGGTTCCATGTCCTATCTATGCCCTATCTAAATGGAACTTCTCCCTGCCCTTGCTGCACTGAGGCTATGGTGCAAACCAGACTCAAGCCCTGGGTTCAAAACTTCCTCCCACCCCCAAAGCTCCATTACTCACCCGCCTTTGAACCATAGGGATTTGGACATCTCTCCTTCTCCCCGGGCCTGTGGGGCAGACAGACAAATGTGGTCAGTGTGGCTGCCCCTCCCCGAGGAAAGGCAGGCTCCACACCAACTTCTGTCTCCCCTTTGGGCTGGGAGTCAGGAAACCTGGGTCCCAGTCCTCACTGTGTGTCCTTTGGGACCTTACTGTGTTTCTCTGGGCCTCAGCTTTTCCATTTGTAACATGGAGAGAGAGGAGCTCCCTCTGCCATCAACCTTAGCGGGTGCTAGTCTCCTCGTCTGTCAAACCTAGGGATGTGTTAGCACCATTCCAATAAGAGCTTATACTTCTGTAGTCTCCTGGGATTCTCAGGGGCTGGTTCAGACACTCATAAGAATCTGTCATTCCTTAAACTCCCTGCAGCTTCACCTGCTTGTGTGCTTTTGTGCCCCAGGGCCTTTGCCCAAGCTATGCCACCTATTTGTATGCCCTCCCACCTTCTGAACCCAACCAGCGTCCATTTAACATTTAGGTCTCAGTATAGACCCAGGGTCTACATCCCCCACTCCCCGCACAACTAAAGGTGACGTGGTTGGAGGGGGGCTGGGAAACACTTTCTTCTGAGATATTATTAAAGTATCTTGACTACTTTAAGTGTCATCTCCTCCAGGGAATTTTTCTGATTGCCTTGGATTTGTTTTATGTCCCATCTATAAAACCCAGAGAGCCTGCACAAGTTTATTTTTCTTGTCATACCACTAGTTCCATTACAAGGGCAGTAGCTGCTGTTTTTTCAATTAATCTGTGGATGTAGTGAAAGTTATTCAATAGACTTCACTGTATAATTCTTTTCTATCTTTTGAATTTGGAACCATGTGAATATATCATTTAGTCACAAAATAAAATTATTTTTTTAAACTGGTAAGAAATTTGATTTGAAATTTTCTGTGGCTCTGATATTGGGTGCTTGAAGACTTTGGGAAGTGACTGGATCTCCTCTTGCCAGCCTCACCCAAATTTGTAAGGTCCCCCTGGATCGTAACACTGCTCTGTGTCTAGCCGAGAGCGGGCTGAATGACTGAAGGACTAAGTACATGGTCTCAATCCTGTGGCCCATCTGAACAGTCATCACCTTGACCCTGACGCTAATTGTATCTTCCACTCAATTCCTTCTCCAATACTGACCCGACCTCAGACCTTTCCCCAACTCTGACACTGATACCCAGCATGATCCGAGCACTGATGTCTTCCCCAATACCAATTCTAACCCTGACCTCTGACCACTGCCTTAATCCTGATCTCTACCCCTATTCCTAACCTCTATCCCTATCCATGAGCTTGACCCCTGACATGGCCATGACCCATGACCTAGCTCCAGGTTTCAGCTCACCACTCCTTCCCTGCTTAGAAATACCAGGCAGGTGTGAGTAAGGCCAGGAATGGTGGAGTCAGGGCAAGGCCAGAAGAAGCAGGGCCAAGTTGGTGTGGGCGGAGCCACAGAAGGACCAGGATGTACAGAGGCATAGGCCTGGTGGATGGAGTGGGGAAGTGGGCATGGCCAAGCTGCCCATGGGGCATGGCATGGGCTGGTGTGGGTGGGGCCAGGAAAAGGACCGGGGTGGTGGGGGCATTAGAGGAGTGGGGAGTGGGCATGGCCATGGGGAGGGCTTGGGCGTGGGTGTAAGCTGGGCAGGGCTCTCACTCACCTCCTGCAGCTGCAGCCGCACTTTGTTGAAGGCTCGCAGCCAGTTGGCCTTGGCCCTGGACATGGAGTCTTGACCTTCCTGGCCTTCCTCATCTTCTTGTGGCCTGAAACTGGGGTGAGGGGCATCCTGAGGCTCCAAGGCCAGCTCTCCCTCCACCCTCCACCCTCTGAGTGATGCCTGACCCTTCAGAGACACTGTGACCCACCTGTGCCCCCTTCTGACCCGTCTCAGTGCTCCGTCCCCTTCCCACATGCCCATGGCCGCTCTGATGCCTCTGGGCCCCCTGGCTCCCATCCCATCCTCCTGGCCCTCTGACCCTTGGTAATCCTATTTACCCAGGGCCCTGCCAGTGCGTTTGTGACTTCCCAAGCCCCACAAGCCGTCCAGCCCCAGAGCCCCTAAGACTACTTTGTGACTCAGCTTCACCCCCTCTGACCCCACTGAACCCCCTCTGACCACATGACCCTGTGACAACTCCCCCTCCCAATTCCCCACATTTAAGTTCACTCCATCATGACACCACTGACCCCGGACCATGGTGACCTTGTGACAGCCCTTCAGCCCCCTTCCATTACCTCTCCTCAGCTTTGGGGGGCTCTTCCTCGGGTGCCCGCTCAGCTGCGGGCACTTCCTCAGGCACGGCTGGCTCGGGGGCCACCTTGGCCACAGAGGGGGCTTCGGCAGGCACGGTCGCAGCCTTGTCCTCCTTCTCGGGGGCGGCCGGCAGAAGACCGATGCGCTTGAAGTCCTTGGGCTCAGCCACGGCCACCTCCTGGTGCTCGGCATAACCACGGATGTCATCAGGCACCTCCTCTTCCTCTTCCAGTTCCTCTTCATCCTCAGGAAGTTCCTCCTCCTCCTCCTCCTCTTCCAGGAAGTCCTCCAGGTCCTCATCCAGCTCTTCATCCAGCTCCTCGTCCAGCTCATCCTCATCTTGGTCCCAGCGTGGCGAGTCCTTGTGGTAGCTGACTGAGCTGTGGCAGGAGTGGTAGGAGTCCCGGTCCCGCTCATCTTCGATCTCAGACCCCTGCAGGCTCTGCTCATCTGGGTCGAAGTCCTCGCTCAGCTGTGAGCTTCCCTGGCTCAGCTCCCCTGAGGAGGCGTAGCTACCTGTGGGGCTGAGGGGACAGGAGGGGCTCAGGGACCAGGCACAGAGCCCCACCAGTCCCAGTAACACAAGCCTAACACCAGTCATTCACTCAGCATTGCTTGAACACCTACTGTGCACCGGGCTCTGCTGTAGGTGCCAGAGAAACACAGCCAAGAACAAGAGACAAAACCCCCTCTCGTGTGGCATTTGTGGTCTGGTGGACAGGAAATAGGCCAGGTCGATGATATTAGTGATCATTGATGCCTTACTGTGTGCCACTCCTGTCCATGCCCTGTGGAAGCTGCAAGTGCTCCACCCACATGCTGGGGACCCTGAGTCAGTGTCCTCACTACAGCCCCCTTGGAGACCTAGGGCTCCTGAGACTTGAACATGGTTGTACCTGGCTCTTAATGTCTCCCACCTCAACCTGGTCCTTCCACCCCCGAGCCCCTTCATTCACCAGGGGCCAGGCTCTTCTATCTCCACTTCTTGCCTCAACCTCCACTCACAGCCAGCCCTGCCACGGGTCCCCTTGGCTCCACCTCCCAAACACATGTAAAATGCATGCACTTCTCTGCACCTCGGGGTCCACCCTGGTCCAGGCTCTGCCATCTCCATAAGATGCTGCCCCAACATCCACCCCCATCCCCAACAGCCCCCGCTTCCCTTGGAAACCCCAGAGGGGCTTCTTTGAATCATAAACCCAATCACATACCTCCTCTGTTCCTAACCCTACCAGGCTCCTTAGCACCCTTGGAATAAAACCCATGCTCTGCCCTGCACCCCGCATGTGGCCCAAACCCTCCAACCTTCCCACCCTCGTCTCCCTCTCTGTCCCCACTTTTCTACCCCTGCTCTAGTCACATTGGCCTTCTTGCCATTCCTCCAACACTCTAAACTTGTGCCCACTTCCAGGCCTTTGCACTTGCTGTGCCCTCTGCCAGGAACACCTTCCTTCCTTGAGTCTCATCCCACTTCTGCCACTAAATGTTTTACCTTGAATATGTTATTTCATTTCCTTGGAGCTAAAAAATAGAGGCTAGAGTAGATGCTCAGCATTTAAAAAGTTCCTTCCAAAATATTTCATCTATAAACTATCCAAGCTTTCTATGGTATATATAAAGTATAACAAATTCAAAATAATAGTTGTTCAAATACTTGCAAAAAAATTGTATTGGTCAGTGCTAAAGTTTGAGTAGGCATTTATGAAGTTTTCCTTCGAATTACGTTTTACCCAAATTCTGTACAGTTCATATTGTCCAGTAGAACTTTCGGCAAGGATAGACGTGTTTTCTGTTTATCTAAGTGCTTAACAAATATTCAACCTGTTTAATATCATGTTTGTTACTGTCCTGTTTGGGAACCAGGACTGGGGTGGTCAGGCCAAAGAGCAGGCTCAAGTTCCAACCTCCCAGGTTCAAGGACCAGCACGCTGCACCAGGCAGTGGTATGACCCACTTGGGCCAGGGACCCACCTATTAGACAGGTCTAGGGACAGCCTACTTTCAAAGGAGTGGTGACGATGGCTGGACAGAATAGGGGCAGCTTCCAAGTCACTGTGCCCATGCTTGCTGGCCAGGAAGACAGGGCCAGGGACCACCAGGACGGCAGGGCCCACCAGCTAGCTGCTTGCCCAACATCACTAGTCATCTCTTCCTGCACCCACCCCACCTCCACCCAGTTAGAGTACATGGGGACCAGTGGCTGTTTTTTTTCTTTTTAAATATATATTTTTATTGATTTCGGAGAGAGGAAGGGAGGAGAGAGAGATAGAAACATCAATGATGAGAGTCATTGACCGGCTGCCTTCTGCATGGCCCCTGCTCGGGATCGAGCCCGCAATCTGGGCATGTGCCCTGACCGGGAATCAAACTGTGACCTCCTAGTTCATGGGTCGATGCTCACCACTGAGCCATGTGGCCAGGCAGCTTTTTTTTTGTTAATCCTCACCTGAGGATATTTTTTCCATTGCTTTTCAGAGAGAGTGGGGGGGAGAGAGAGAGAGAGACATTGATGTGAGAGAGACACATCATGCGCTCTGACCGGGGTCAGGGACCGAGCCTGCAACTGAGGTACCCTTGGCCAGAATTGAACCTGGGACCCTTCAGTTTGTGGGGTCTAACCACTGAGCAAACTGGCTAGGGCACCGGTGGCTTTTTAAAGGAGAGCAAGGAGCCCTGGGTGGTTGGCTCAGTGGTTGGAGCGTCGGTCTGCGGGCGAAGAGTTGCGGCTTTGGTTCCCGCCAAGGGCACGTACGTCAGCTGCAGGCTCAGGCCCGGCCTGGCCGGGCGCATGCGGGAGGCAGCCCATCGACGTGTCTCTCTCGTATCGATGCTTCTCCCTCCCTTCCACCCTCTCTGGCAAGCAATGGGAAAGTATCCTCGGCAAGGGTAAAATAATAATAGCAATAATAATAATAATGAAAAGAGGTTCAAGGAGCCCTGCCGGTGTGGCTCGGCTGTTTGAGCGTTGTCCCATGCACCAAAAGGCCGCCAGTTCGATTCCCCATCAGGGCACATGCCGGGTTGTGGGCTTGGGTCCCCACTGCAGGAGGCAGTCGATGAGGCTTCACTCTCACATCGACGTTTCTCTCCCTCTCCCTTCCTCTCTCTCTAAAATCAACAAAAACATATTTTATAAAAAATGTTTACTTTAAAAAATAAAAATAAAAGAGTGCAAGGAGTCCCCATATTTCAGGGGGACCTCTCAGGGGCTGCTGGACTTTCCTCTTTCTTCAGCCAAAGCAGACCTACTTTTATCAATCTTGTGGAATTCTCTTGCAAAATTTCAGGTAAAGCAAGGGCTCTACTGCCTACAAGAAAGCGCGAATGCTGCTTTTCTAGACCCACTTACCTCCACCCCCAGCCCCCTCCAGCCTTCTAGTCCTCTCTTCACTCCAGGAGACAGGGCTGGACACGCACACACACACGCACACACACATACATGGACCTCAGCTCCGCGGTGGCTACCTGAGGGCCTGCGGCTCGGAGAACTCCTCATAACTGTGCATGGAGTCACTGTAGGATTCCCGGGAACCCAGGGGTGGCGGGCGAACAGAATACTGGTGGACAGAAGCATTGGGCTGGGAAGTAGTATAATAGGGTGGCGGGATACTGTTGCTTGTCTCGCTGCGATAGTCACTGTCACGGTCATCCACCGCACTGTCAGGGTCATCATCTGAAAGAGAGAGGAGGTGAGGGGAGAGAGTGAGGAGGGAAGGGAGGGGGAGAGAGAAAGGCAGAGAAAGAGAGAACACAATGGGGCCAAAGCAGTATCTCAGACTTAGGGGATCTTCACTGGCTGCTAACCCAAGAAGAGTAATCATTCCCAGAATGGATGAAGCATACTGGGTCATGTAAATAGAGGTACAAGCTTTAGAATAAGGGAGGTGAAAACCTTGCTGCTTTATGTGGGTCATGCTGGACCTAGAGTCTGGGGTCCAGGGTAGGTGTTGTAATGTGAAGACAGTGGCAAATTGGAGGATGTCCTTCAGCTCAAATGTAAGAATGGACTTTGCAGAAGTCCAGGCTCTCTGAAAGCAAATGTTTTTTTTCCATCAGGCAGTGAGCTTCCCAGAACAGGAGCCATGCAAACACTCAAAGGAATTGGAGGGAGATCAGGACAAGGTGGAGTAAAAATGCCTTTTAACCCTCAGAGATTTCTTCATATCTGAGAATGGAGACCCCAGATCTAAACTCACATGCACAGGAACAAAGAAGGGGCCCTGAGAAGGTGACATGTTCCTCAAAAAGCATTAGATCTTTAGGTCGGCAAGACCACCACTGACCCAGAATCTATCACTAAAATGGAACAGGGTGGAGCTGCCAAACTTTGAGTAGTACCTAAGAATTAAAGATTGTTTTATTTCATTTGGTTTGTTTTCCTTAGTGAAAGGAAAACAGACTTACTTTCTCAGTAAAGAGAAAACGGTGTCAAGGGATGTTAGATTGTTGTGGGACAGGAGAGACTCTATTTATTTAGAAAATAACACTTGGGTTGAAAATGGGCTGCAAAAAAAAAAAAAAAAAAATTAACCCCCTGATTGGGGGGGTCCATGCCGTCAATTTACTGCTGATTTTAAACACCAAGGGAGTGGCTCGCCCCTTTTTATGCCTTTAAGTATTTTTGCTCATTTCTCAGATGTTTGTCTATTTTTCTTTCTTTGTTATTTTAACTTTTTAATTCTTTTCCAGCTAATTGTATCTGTTTCCATATATACGACAAATAGGTCCAAGTTTTAAAATGTGATAAAAAAAATTTTAATTAATTCATATTTCACATAGAATGTTATTCATTCCCTAAGTTATTTTGCCTTTAGAAAAACCTTAATTCATTTTCAGCTAGCAAAGCTGGCCCTTCCAAGGTAACTGTTTTTCCCGGTCTCTCATTTGACCCGGGCCACTATGACCTACAAGCTTTTTATCCTGTCCCTGTCCTCAGACGACCCTCTGCTGCACTGCGAGCTGTCAGCACTGAGATTATAGACAGAGGCAGATGCAAATTTCCACGGCTTAGATTTGTGGGTTTCAGGGTGAAACTGTGATCCTATAAAAGCCTGAAGTGGGGTATCTGAAACCTGGACGATCCCCTTCAAAGCTCTCGACAATTTGTCTACCCAATTATTTGGGTCTTTGGCCAAACTGGTGTTCTTACCAAACTGTCCTTGGCCAAGCCAAGATGTTTTCAACCAAATCACATGAGGCTGGTGTGTGTGTTCCCCCAATTTTTTTTTGACAGACTGTTTTTGAGGGGCAAATTGCTTTTGATTGTATTCTTTTTGTTTTTACCCGGACTCTACTTTTTACCAAATAGTTTTTGAGCAAAATGTGATTTCCAACTTTCAGAAACTTGTGTCTTGACAAAAAGGTCTGCTTTTGGTCCAACGGTCTCTGCTCTTCATGCAGTTATCAGCTTTAGCCAAATTGGTTTTAACCAAAAAATCTTTGTTTTTGATAATATTGTTTGTTTGTGGCCAACTGGCTGTTACCAAGTCTTCTTGTCTGCCTAGTGCCTGTTCTGAACAAATTGATTCTGACCAACTTGCTTTTGACAAAGTGTTTTGGATCAAAGTATGTGTAAGCAGTTTCCCTGGTCCTGGAGGGAGAGGGGAGTGGAGCTTGTCCAACAGGGGTCACTTGGGGGCGGAGGAGCCCCCAGCTGGTAGAGGAGAGAGAGGGATGAAGATTCATATTCACACTAAAGGACTGGATTTCTTTGGAAGAGTAAAGACATGGGGATAAGGGGGCTCTTCCTTAGGGAGCAACATGGGCATCCAAGTGGGGGGATGGCAACTCCTTCCCCTGGGGGCAACTTGGAGGAAGGTGTGTGCGAGGGGGCCCTGGAGCTGAGGCTTCTGAAATGCTATCTGCCTGGGGAACCCTGCCCTCCTGCTCTCTCTGAGACCCTCTTTCTTCCCCACCCACCACCCTCTGAGTGACATTTCCAGTGGAGGAGGAAGACAGGGAGACGAAAAGAGGAAGGGGTCACAGGAGAGGAGATGAGGTTATACATGGGGAGTGGGGGGATGGGGTCACAGAGCCCAGCTGGAGACAGGCAAGTCTCCCATCTAAACACCACCCCTCCCAGCTGAATCCTTCCACCCCAAGGGCAGGGCCCACTCCCCACCAGACAGAGCAGGACCCCCAAGACAGATGTTAATAGTCAGGGGGCAAGAGGACACGAAAGGGGTCTGGCCAGTACTCTGGCCCCAGTGCGCTGGCACAGGCTCCTCGCTTCCCTGCGTGGAGGGGTGGGGGCCTCAGAGCTGCCAAGGCGCCCACCTCCCTGTGGCCTCCCAGGACATCAAGCTGAGTACTTACTCTGCTGTTCACCCCAGCCAAAATAATTCCAGTTGCCTACAAAGAGAAGGGGCAGAAATAATAAAAGGGAGCAGGTAGGGGGGGACACAAGGAGGGAGGCTCCCCCGCCTCTTCATTCTCCGTCACCTTCTCCCACCCAGGACCCCAGGTGCCTCCTAAACCGGATCTTCCCCAAGGATCACTTTAATCACTGCCATTTGTCATGCCGTCCCTCACCACCTTGGGAGGAAGGCTGGGTATCTCCATTTTTTGAGGAGGCCACAGGCTCAGCCAGGAAGTAACAGGAGCATTTAGGAAAAGGGCCCTTTAACTCTGAGGTCTGGGGTCAGCACCCCTACTGCTTCCCCTCCCTATCTCGTGCATAAGGGAAGAATTATTGAACTGGAAATCCTAAATTTTGAAACACGCCTGTTGGGTGGGTTTTTTTCATCATTCTGCTCATTGTACAGGCGAAGAAACAGGGTTCAGAGAGGTGGGATGAGCAACCTAAAGTCGCACAGCCTCTGAACTTCAGGGCCAGGAAGAGAACCGCATCTTTCCCCATCATTCCCAGCGCCTGGCATTGTGGGAAAATGCCTTGGGCCACAATCCTGGCTCCTCTGAGCCTTGGCTGACTCCTCCATGACATGTGGGTGATCAGATATTCCCAAGAGGACTTGGAGGTAAATGCAGGAGGTGGGTCTCTAATCCCAAATTGAACCCGCCTTTCACTTTAGTCCACCTGCCTAGGTATTATTTGTCATCTGCTCCTGCCTCCACCTTGACTGCCCCCCCCATCCTCAATGACTCCATTCATGGGTGGAGGGGGCTTATAAATCCTTCTGGGAAGTGATGACTCCCCCCACCTCAGGCAGGGAAGCCAAGGGGCTGTCTCAGTAACATATCCAAGTTAAGGCAGAACAAGGTCCCCCAAAGGCAGTCCCCTAGCACCTCCCCCCACCAGGCTCCATCATCACCATCCTGGGCATACTGGGGGGGCGGGGTTGGAAAATGGGTACAGGGGAGACTGTGAAAGAGGAGGAAAGGGGGATAAGGAAGTAGATGGAGCAGGAGAAAGAGGTTGAGGTGCAGGGTGGGGACAAATTGTTACGTGTTTGGGGTCTGCCCTGAGACTATGATTTGTCACTTCCTCCCCATTCTAGAGGACTCAGGAGGAACTTTTAAGAAAAAGACATCTCCTTGGCCCATGGAGACCTGATCTGGGTACATCTGAGAGTCCATAGGGCCAAGGAACATAAACAATCTTGAAAACTCCAGCCTTGATGGAGGGCCGTAGGCAGAGAAAGGTTATCATCAGCAGCATTAATAGATGCAGTGCAGTGGAAAGAGTCCTTCAGACCTAGGTTCAAATCCTAGCTTTGCCTCCTGCCAGGTGTGTGACCTTGGGCAAGTTGCTTCTTCTCCTAGGCCTCAGTTTCTTCATCTAAGAAAATGGGCGAATGAAACAGCCTTTATCCATTGTACGTACACCTATTGTACATGTGTGGGCAGGATTGTTGGTGACAGTCTGCACCCTCTGACTGGGCTGCATGGGGGCCTGTGTTGGCCCCATGAAAGAGGTCCTCATCCAGGATTTGATTAATGGAATTAAAGAGTCTGCAAAATGTTTTTTTAAGCCTTGAGATGTCCTGGGACCCCTCAAAGTGAAAGGCTGTCAGATGCCCTGTTTCAAAGAGGGTGACTCCAATGATCAGAGAGGGACACTGGCATGCCTGTGGCCACATAGCAAGGCAGGACTCAAACCCAAGTCCCAGATCTCTTCTTCTTTCCACCACACTGTGAACAGATACTGTCCACTCTGGACGTCCCATATCTCTGGAGGGGAGTTGACTTGTTACACACACAACAGCCATGTGGTGGGGAAGGGATGCCAAGAAAGGAATTGACAGGTACTTACAACACTGGTTGCTGGGGACAGGGAGAGGCTTGTCTTGTTCATCTTGGAATGAATACTAAGGGGAGGGAAGGAAAGAGGGTTCATCTCAGAGGGGGCCAGAAGTCAGGCGACCAGGATGGTCCTCTGTTGTGTTCCATCCTGACTCCCCCGTGCCTCCCAAATCTCCTCCCTCTAGAGGAGAATACAAATGTTGACAAGGATGCACAGAGAGACAGTGAGAAACAGATATAGGGAGGGAAAGGAGAGACACATTAGGGAAAGAACAGAGATGATAGAGAGAGGAGGGAGAGACAGACAGGCAGAGAGAAATGAAGCTGGACAACAATTGCTCACATGTGAGTACTGCCCCCTTGCTCTCCACCTCTCACTAAAGAGTGTTGTAGTCTTGCCTGCTATTTCTTCCCTGCCCTCACCTTCTAAAGACTGTCTTCTGGGCCACATTGAGTCTTTGCACTGTGGGGATATAGAGCCGAGAAGGAGAAGGGGTGGGTGGCCTGGAAGAGCAGAGGTGCAGGGGCTAAGTTTGGTGGGAGAGGAGAAAGTCTAAAAGTGTGACTTGAGGAACTGAGAGGCGTCGGGCAGAGGGGATGTGAGAACTGCTTCAGAGCCCCGGTATGTCCTTGAGAGTATTTGGCAAATGCAGAACTTGAGTCAACTGACATCACCCTTATGTTGTTAGTAGACTGTATGTTCCTGGCTGACATCCTTCTTGGATACTGGACCGCACGAGTCACTGATTTAGTCAGGTTACAAAGAGTTAGAGACACAGGTATAGAGAAAGACAAGCAGAGAGAAACAGAGACAGAGAGCAGAGGACTTGGGGAGACAAAGAGACACAGACACAAAAAGAAAAGAAGCCCCCGTGTCAATACTCACCTCATCCTGGTCCCGCATGGCATTCAGCTGCTCCAGTTTCTTGGCCCAGTAGCGTGCCTCCTCCTCAGGAATATCTGGAAGGGGAGCCCTGGTTGTGAGCCTGGAAGCCCCTTCCTGCCCCTCAGCATCCATCCAGTGCATCCTGCAGGCCTACTGGGCTGGTCTCTGGTGGGTGGGGGATAGGGTGATACCCCTGATCCCTCCCTGCCCCAGCACTGCCTTGGGGAATGGGAGAGAAGATGCATCCTTGCATAACAACAGCGGGAGAACCAAGCTGCTTCCTGGAAAGGTATCTCTTTGTCTCTGTCTTTGTTTATCTCTACATGCCTCTGTTTCTCTGTCTCTCTTCTAACCCCAGCTCACCCCTGCAGCATAATGCCTCACCAAGGACCAGTCAGGGGAGCTCAGACTAGAGTCCCATGTGTCAAGAAGCATTTACTGCCCATTGGTGACCTGTAGGAACTAGAATGTGCTCTGTAAACAGCAGGTGCACATCTCAACTGACTTGCTGAAAACCAGAAAACTCTCTCCTCTGGGGAGAGGAAGCCTTGTCCTCAGAATGAGGGTTGTATGGACTTACCCAAGCCTGGCCATTCTCCTGGGACTGGGCAAGGGTCCTGTGCCCCCGACACTCACCTAAGGGCAGCTCGAAGCGGGTGTCAAGGAGGATGCGGTGGAAAGTGGGGTCCTTGGTGCCACAGATTTCGCTGTCTGCCATGATGACCTGGGAGTCCAGGGTCAGCCACTCTCCAGGGCCCTCCTGGATAGAGTGGGGGATGACAAGGGTCAGGGTCCTGACTGAGGCAAGGTGGATCAGGTATCTGCTCACACGAGATGTCTTGCTCACCCCATCTCACCTCCTGCCCCAAGAGCAAGGGTCACATCCCCACTTTACAAATGAGGAAACTGAGACCCACTGCAGACAACATGGTGGGTCCAGGGAACTCAGAGTCAAGGACCCAGAGAGAGGGCCCTGTGGGGTTAGCAGGGGTAGTCCTAGCATTACACAATCACTCCTCATCCCTCATAGGAGTTACGCAGACCTTAGCTTCATATAAAAGTCCCGATGCTCTCACAATCCAGTAAGGAAACCCCTCCTCAAGTGAATAAACCAGTCCCCCTAGGTTGAGGGACATAAGTCCTCCAGCAGGTGGGGTCCACTCTGAACCTCAGTTTCTTCATCTCAAATGAGAATGATGTCCTGTGGAATTTGCTTTCTGCAACCCCAGGGAGAGGCTGGTAGGGGTGAAACTAGTAGTCCAGGGTCCTCTGCATGAGCCATTGGGGGGGGTCACTGAGGAAATTTTGGGTCATCCTCAAGGCTTCCTTTTGGATTCACTTGCCTGGACTATGTTAGCAGGTGCCATCAAGAAAGCCTCCCAAGGGAGTTGGGGAGGTAGGTCAGGAAAGGGCCCAGGGGTAATAAGATGCTGCTGGGCTCAGAATGGGGCAGGAATGGAAAGGAAGAAACTTAAGGCCAGGAGGCCAAGGTTATTGTCTAGTACCTTCAGGCCTGTTGTAGGCTTCCTCCTGCACAAAGTGCTAATTGCCCACAATATCCCTTCCCTTCTCTTCCATAGGAATACATTTTTAGCTGGGCCCAGGGCTATGTAGCTGAAGACTACATTTCCCAGACTCCCTTGCAGCTAGATGAGGCCATATGACTAAGTTCTGGCTAATGGGATGTGAGTGAAGTACCAAGAGAAACCTCCAGGTTTGACTGTTAACTTGGAGGGCAAACTCCCTCCTTCATCACCTTTCCCTCCCCTAATGGTAATGCAAATGTAATGGTGATACTCCAGCAGCCATCCTGGGCCATGAGGAAGCACAGGGAAAGAAAGAGCAAATATGATGGAAAGGGTTTAGACCCTGGTGACTTTGGAGCTGCCACTGCAGCCCCAGATGTCTACATGAACATTGTCAAGGGCAGGAGGTAAATGTCCATCTCGTTTAGGCCACTGGTCTCTGGGCCCCTCCCAGGCACTCCTCCCCAACCTTCAGCCCACAACTCACTTCATTGGACTGGCGGATGGTCTGCAGGGGGATCCACACAGTGCCCACCATTGTGTCCCAGATGAGACCCTTGTTCCACACTTCCACTGTCAGCCCTAAATCTAGGCGGTTAATCTCACTGTGGAGAGAGAGGAGGGGGCAGGAAGGGGCAGAAGTGAGGGAATGGAGATTCAGAAAAGTCAGTTCACTCACCTTAGGACATATGGCCAACTGAAATTCAAACCCAAGCCTGGGTAAGTCCTAGCCAGGAAGGTAACACAGTGGTTCTTGTTTTACAGATGGGAAACTGAGGCCAGAGGGCTAAGTTACATGCTCAGGGTCTGCAAGCTGGGATGGAAGGGCTGGGACAGATATCACATACCTCTTGCACCCCAACTTGCCTGGTCCTTCCTCAAGCCCTCAGATCCCAAGAATGCTAGCTAAGTGAGGAAGATGCCCAAACACCCTTTGTGGCTCCTTATTATCCCAGGATAAGGGCATTTGGGGTGCCTGCATCCTTCCCAGTGTCATCTCTATCCAATCGCATGGGGACACGCTTGAGTATATGAATGACCCTATACCTGAGCACTTTCCCTGCAGGCCCCACTCTAGACATAAGCAGATTTGGAGGGAAACCTTGGTGAATGTCCAATTCACTGAATTTGTCAGTTTGCCAAAGATTTATCTTAAGGAATGTTCTTGAATATATCTGTTGACTGTGACCTAGTCATTCAGTAATTGGCTTTCTGGGAGTTGGGGACCACCCTGTCTCTAACCATTTACATCTCCCCAAGAATTGTAGGGCCAAAACATCCCTTCCCCAGATGCTTCTTTGCTCCAGGATCCTGACTGGGTTCTCTCATGGCCTCTACCACTGACAGTCCCCAGCCAGGCTCTACTCAGGGGTTGAGGGCTGCCTGGGTCCAAATCCCAACCCTGCCAGGTACAAGCTGCATGATGCTGAGCAGGTGGCTTAGCCTCTCTGGTCCTCTGCTTCCTCATCTGTAAAATGAGGATTACAGTAGCATCCTCTCTCTCAGTGTTGCAGGCAAATTTATTTAATCAAAGCCTTAGTGGAGAGCATGGCACGTTCCCATCATCAGATAGGCAGGTCCTGGGTGTCTCTAGGTTGAGAAGAGGGTCCAGGCCATGAATTCATTCAGAGATTAGGCAAATATTTATGGAGTGCCAAGCCTTGTGCTTGGCATGGGGGTCAGAGTAGCGACAGGTGGACTAGGTCCTACCCCCCTGGAGCTTACTCTTGGGGATCAGGGCCATAAATATGTCCAAAACTCACACAAGTGACTAAAATAACAATTGATAGCAGGCCTGAAATTACTCTTCCATCGCAGCTTGGGGTAGTGGTCAGGAAGGGCTTCCCTAAGGAGGTGACAGAACTGAGACAGGAAGGATCAGAAGGAGCCAGCTGGGAGGAGGAGGGAGGGAAAGAGAAGAGCAAGTGCAAAGATCCTGGGGCAGGAACAAGCTGGTAGTGTTGGAGGAACCTTGCAGAAGTGGCTGTGGCTGGGACAGGTGAGCCAGGAAAGATGGAGAGAGATACTGCTGGGAGGTCACAGGGGCCTCCTTGGGGGCTGTGGGGAGGAGTGTGGGTTTTGTTCTGAGGTTGATGAGCCACAGGCAAATTTGGGGAGAGAGACAGGATGTGATTTGCAGTTTTAAAAATATCCCTCTGGCTGCCTGGAGAACAGATTGCAGGAGGCAGATTGCAGCAGGAGGCCAGGGCGGAGGCTGGTGGCACCAGGGACTTGGCTGGTAGCACCAGAAAGTGAAGTGACTGGATTTGGGAAGTGGTTTGGAGACAAAGCTGATAGGTGGACATGGAGTAGAGGGAGGAGGAAGGGAAGTCCCAGATGATACTCAGGTATTTGCCTCTGCCCAATGGGACCAGCAAGGTGCCATGGGGTGAGGCTGTGCAGGACCAATCAGACTCACAACATGAAATCCTGTTCCCAGCTGGGCTGGCTGCCCCGCACAGCAATGGTCGTGCTCTTGACATTCTGCACCTTCAGGGTCACATATGTGTTGAATTTCTCTGTGGCGGTGAGAGAAGGAGTTAGCGCAGGGGCTCAGGCACTCCTGGTGCCCCTTCCCAAGCTCTAGACAAGCTGCTGCGACTCCCCAGGTGCTGTGTGTGCTCGGGGCCGCCAAGTTCAACATACTGCTCTGCTTCTGTGCATCCCTCCCAGCCCAGCCCAGCCCAGCCCAGCCCCCAATGTTTCCCCATGACCAGCCTCTCAGAGCACAAGGGAAGGGCCTTGGTGCAGGGAGACGCGGAATTTGAAAATGCCTAATCCTGCTGCTTAAAAATAACTATGTCCAACAGCCTTGGTTTTTAGTTAGAAAGACTGAGGCCCCAGACAGGAACAAAAGTTACTGTAAGAAACTCCCCTACCTCTCTGAGCCTCGCTTTCCCTATCTGGAGACTGATCTAAGAGTCCCCAACCTGTCTCTTAGTAGCCTAGGAAGGGCCATTGGCTCAGGGTGAGCCCCAACTACCCTGGGGTTTTCAGGGGATGGCTGAGGAGATTGCTGGGACCACAGGCCATGTCTGACCCTCTCCATGATGCTTAGCAGACGCAGAGCCCAAGTCCCCCACCAATGAATGGCTCAGAGCCCCTTCCTGGTCTCTCCAAGAGATGGAGAAACAGACAGACAACACAGGACAGGACAAGCATAGGGGCCACTTACCTTGGGCACCATCAAACTTGGCTTTTTTGACTGTGGAGAGAGACAGATAGGGAAGGGAGATGGGGAGAGAGGCAGGGAGGAGAGAGACAGAGGCACAGAGAGAGACACCAAAATAGAGACATAACAAGAGAGACAGAGGAGAGAGACACAGAAAAAAAACAGAGAAGACAGAGGCAAGGGTATAGAGCAAAAGAGACAGATGCAGAGACCAAACAGGAGAGAAAAACAAGATAAAGACAAAGGTGAAATGAGAGACAGAGACAAAGAGACAAGGAGAGGAGGAGAAATAAGGACAGGAGGGAGGCAGGGATGAGAGGGAGAGAGAGAAGCCATCAGACAGATGAGCAGAGGCAGACCTAGGGGTGGAAAGAATCTGGACCCTGGGAGCAACCCCTGCCCCTCCTCCCTCCCTCTTAAACTCTCCTGAAGCTTCTCCCCTCCAGCTATGGTTTGACCCTCAGTTGAACAAGATTCAGAAGACGGAGCTGGGCAGGTGGCAGGAAAGGCCTCCCACAGGAAGCCCTCCAGGACTGCCACAGAGGGAGGAGGAGGGGAAGGGGGAGAGAGGAGGGACAAATTTCCAATGACTTCATCCTCCTGTCAAGCTAAGGAGACTTCTCCCCCAATTGTCCAGCTCAATCTGTCCTACCAAACACTCCCAAGATTTGGGGTTCAATATTCAAAGGGGCACTGGAGGAGGTAGAACAGGACATCCCAGTCCTGGCTGAGAGGTTATTAGAGCTTTCCCAGTCCCATTCGCCTGCGAAAGGAGCAACCCAAATACATGTCAGGTTCCCATGTTGTCCAGTCTCCAGATTTCACATAACCCACAGTCCTAAGTGATTCAAAGCAATTTCACTCTTCACTGGCTTTTCTCACAGGGTAGTAAACATTCACTTTCAACATCTCTTACACCCTGCAGCTGTCCCCAACAACTTTCTCCACCATTCACTCTCCACCTCCACCTAAAACTTGTTAACTTGTTACCAAACTGAGCGCTCCTCCTTTCCACATTTCTCCTCCCTTCGTTTCTTTTCAAATGAATGTTTTTGTTTGAGAAGGCAATACACGCGCACTTTACAAAATCAAACTAATAAAAACAATTACACGAGAGTAAGGTTCTTTCTAGCCCAGCCCTCAGTCTCCCTCCCAAGTGCGATCAACATCAGCAGGCGCTGGCGGTGGCCTGGCGCCAGCAACCGCGGCACACGCGCGTCATTTTAGTTCCTGCGCAGACAGTAGCATCCTTCACCCCTGCAGGACCTTTGTGTTTTTCAGTGGGTTGTGAAGGGCGTGTGCAAGCAAGCTGGAGGATACATTTTTAGGAACAGAATTGTGGTTCTACTCTTCCTCCTCTTTTGAAAGTCAGTTTGGTCTTTTTCTGGGCAAATGCCACAGCCTCCCGTCTTGTTCGTGTCTCTGTTCCCATCACTTGAATTTCCATCATGCAAAAACAGCTGAATGGAGCCAGGGAAGAAAAAATTCCCATGAAGGGCAGAAGTGGGGTGGTTCTAAATACTTGTCAGTAAAGACTGTTTGTTCCTGTTGGGGGGTAAGGGTGTGGAGGTGGGATTGACTCACGGAAGCACTGAGTGCAGAGCAAGAGAAGGAATGAGTGCCTTCAATGCAAATGCTTGGGCATCATAGCCCCACCCCCGGCTGGGTTTAGGTTTGAGAGGTAGGGTGACCATGGACCATTGGCTGGGCATTGGGGGAGGTGAGTACCAGTTTAGTGTAGAGTCTGGTGGAATGAGGTTCAGTTTATTATGCTGTGTGACTCCAGGCAAGTGAACTCCCGTCTCTGGGTTTCCATCTCTGTCTCACTATGACTCATTCTCTCCCTGGTTTTCTAGGTCTGGTGTGTGTGTGTGTGTGTGTGTGTCCTTCTGTATCCCCCCTGTATTTCCTGTCTCTGTCTCTTTCCCCCACACCCAAAATCAGTCACCATGTCTTATCTTCCTCACCTTTCCACTCGAGGCACATCACTGCAAAGACCCCTTTCTTGGGTGCGTGCTCAGCCCCCATCCCACTGGACCCCTCTTATGCCCAGGTCACAAGAAGCTCACCCACACAGCCCCTCAGCCCTGGGGCTGAGAGAAGCTAACCGGGGCACTTAGGATTGTGTGCACGAGGAACTCGAGGCCTCCCTCCTTGGGGGAGGTCCAGCTTCCAAACTTGATGACTCTGAATGGAGGGGCTGCAGGGACAGAGCGGGGAGGGAGAACGGTGGAAGAGACACAGAAAGGGGCTGAGAAAAACGGACACACAGAAGGACCAACACGGGGAGAGGAAGGAAAAAGAGGAAGAAGGGAGTGGAGGTAACAAGTCATGAAAGTCAGAGACAGAGACACGGAGAGACAGAAGGAGAGACATGTAGATTTCCATCCTCAAGGAAGGGCAGGCAGGGGAGAGAATTGGCAGAGCTGGGAAAGAAGAGTTGGATGGAGGAAGCGAGCGGGGTAGGTGGCAGACTCTGAGAAGATCCAGGGGCTGGCTGGGGTCTAGCCTGACCTGGCCTGGGCTCCACCCTGCAGCTCCCACTGTATCCCCTTTTTACAGATCTGGGACAGGGCTCAGAGAGGAGGCCAATGTTCCAAAATCTGTCCTCCATCATCTCCT